CAGACTGTTTGAGCATCAGACTGTTTGAGCATCAGACTGTTTGAGCATCAGACTGTTTGAGCATCAGACTGTTTGAGCATCAGACTGTTCCTCTCTGCAGTCTTTGTCGTCTGAGGTCATCCTGGAGAACAGCAAGCCTCCAGAAGGAGTTTCTGTCTCCTACAAGTCCATCTGTAAGAACAACGTGGTGGGAACCGGAGACGACGGCAGGAAGTGCTCCAACATCTCCATCGGAGACGAGGTGAGGAGAGTTTGTTCTGTGTCACAACATGAAGCTGTGAAACTGATAATATTGTGAACGTTTTTGACAATCTTAACTGTTTTCGTTCATAAATTAAAACGTTCAGCTCGAACAGAAACCGTCTGCTCTGACTATTAGCTTTTAATCTTATCAGGGCTCTGTTTTTGTCTTCTTGTGCTACTTTTAGAAATCCTGTACTTTTTAGCTGGTTTGAAGCTACCGTTAGCCTTTTCTTACTTCAGCTGTTTGCTGTCTGTTATGCTACTTTGAGCTAGCACTTCCTGTTCAGCAGAAGAGGGCACTGTTCTGCTAATCTGCTGACAGCTGGAGTAACTGTTTATTTAGTGGATTTTCCTCTACACTCCTTTTTTCTTTTAATTTTCTTTTCTTTTTTATTTTTTACTAATTCTGGAAACTGTTAGCGAGCCGAGTGGCTTCCACAAAATTAGGTTCCACTAATTTTCTGTTTAGCATGTAGCATCTTTAGCAGCTAAACTTCAAAGAAAGAGCTTTAAAAAGAAATWAAAAAAAAACATTTAACAATATTTAAATAACAAATGCGATACAGATAATGTTTGCTTTTTGTTGTTTAACTAACTTAAACTTAAAAATACAAAGTTAATCAAATATTTTATTTAAAAGCAGTAAACTGGAAGTTTAGATAACTCTGGTTTGGATTGGATGATTTGCCACAGTTGATCCTCCCGTTTTCAAATTAAACCAATAGAGTCAAACTAACAGGTTTGCTTCAGTCCTGCTAACCGTGTTGGTGGTTAGCGTTAGCTTCTGCTAATGTTGTATTTTTAGCAGTTAGTGAAGCTAACAGTTTGGTTAGCTGTGGCCACTGCTGTTTAGCTTCTAGCTTCTGATACTTTTAATGTCTTGTTACCTTTTTACAYCTTTTAGTTTCTAGCTACTGTTTTGCTTCTTTTAGGTAGCGTGTGCTAATTTCAGCTGATGTTTTGCCTCTTTTATCAAAAGCTCAGGATTCACTCTTCTGTAGTTTAAGACGCGTCTCATATTCTGATATAATTCCATGTGTGGACGAAAGACTCTGTAATCTCACACTTTCATCCGGTCTCCAGGTGCATTTCCAGATTACAGTCCAGTCCAAGAACTGTACTCCAAACGGAAACCTTGAGACCATCACCATCAAACCTCTGGGCTTCAAAGAGGATGTGGTGGTGGCCCTGAACTTCATCTGCGACTGTGAATGCGCTTCGAAGGGAATTCGCAACAGCCCCGAGTGCGACGGGGGTCACGGCACYTTAGAGTGCGGGGCCTGCAAGTAAGCTCTCAAGTTTTAGGAAAATAATTCTGCAACTCTTTCAGTGCGTTACCGAAACGTTTCCTGTCCACAGGTGCAACGAAGGACGCATCGGGCAGTCCTGCGAGTGCAGCAGGGACGACGTCCGGACCGACGACATGGACGCAAACTGCCGGAAGTCCAACGGCACGGACGACATCTGCAGCAACAACGGCGAGTGCGTCTGCGGCACCTGCATCTGCAAGAAACGCGAGAACCCCGCCGAGGTCTACAGCGGCCAGTTCTGCGAGTGCGACAACTTYAACTGCGACCGCTCCAACAACAAGCTCTGTGGAGGTGAGCGGTGACGAAACAAAAACATAAAAAAACGTCAACATGTTGTTACAATCT